CCACAACAACGTGATGACGTCACTTTAAAATAGTATATATTATATAGATTTTCAGAAAAAAAGTTATAATTGTACAACAACACTGTACAATTAATTCTGAAAGTGTCAAATCGAATTCTTGCAAACGTTTTAAGGTTATAGTCATCATGTTGAAGTGATTTCAACATTTTGCTAAATAAATCGTATAGAAATTGTACAGAATATTACAGAAAATGACACAAAAGATTAATGAAAAAGTCATTTTATTTTATCGACAAGAACGATTCCTTCCATTTTTTCGAAAATTTGGTAATAAATTTTGTTATTATTGGTTCTAAACTGCACCTATCAAAATTGATATTACGTTTGACTACAAAATGTTTTTGACGTCATCACAAAATTTTGCAAGGAAACACTGAATTGAAATGGACAGATAACATGCTTCCATACCTTTACTTTAACATTACACATATATTTTTATTTTAACTATCGTAAAAAAAATAAAATTGGCATAAGCAATTCTATTAAATAGTTTATAAATAAAATTGGATACACAGTGTTTATCAAAAATTAAAAAATATGAAAGATATTTCCGTTGTTTTCAAGTAGAACACCCTGTATTTTATTGCGTTTTCTTGTTTTTTATTTTCTTTTTTTTGTGAAGTATGTTCTATGTCTAAAAATTAAAATTGTTTTGTTACTTTTTACTTTTTTTAAGAGACAAGCCCACATATCGAAACAAAAAATTAAGTAAGGTGCAGCAATGAAATATAGGGTGTCAGTTCTATTTGAAATAACTGATATATCCATTTTAGAAATTGTAATGTTTTAATTGATACAGACAAAGTACCTTTGCTTATCTCTCCATAAAATATACATTATAAAATTCAAAGACGAAAAATTAAAAAAAAAAAATTGGAAAAACGTGGCAATATCACATCAAAATTCCAAAAACAAACCACGATTATAAAGCCTACGACGAGACGAATCACAGAATATTAAGATATATAGCGTATTCAATTTAAAAAAATGGCCGAAGGTCATTTCAACAGAATTTCTCTCGCCGTTGAAGTATAATCCGACATATTCCGCTTCTTTAAAAAATTATAAAATTTGATTTTGCGATTTTCGTTTTTCTATAGAGTAAAAACCAGCGCCAGATAAATAACGGGATAAAATGTCTTCTCACCACTAATAACAAGCTTACTTTAAGTGTTTATGTTTATACATTGAAATAATGTCGCGTAGAAATTAGTTTGATTTGAATGAGTTTGTCTCTCAAAACACAGGACTAATTAAAATTATTAATTAAACCACAATAGAACAATATGTCATTTTGATCAATATTATAATTCTTGTTTTATCATTAATAAATACACCAGTGGGCGTATTTTCTATTTTCAAGAAAATAGGGTGACTCGTTCTTAATTTGATCAATAAACAATTGTGTGATGACGTGATTAACATAGATTACATAGATAGTACTAGTAGTCATGGTTCATTACTCACGCAAGATAAAAACAAGAGAGAAAAAAAAGAAACTTCCAAGTTTGGCATCGAACTTGTGACCGCAGGTCGATGTTCTCTACGATAACAGGTCTACTACGGCTTATATCCCGTATTGGTACTAAAATGTTAGTATGATTTGCAAATGTTTTAGCGAAAATTTGGACTTTTATGGAAAAAAGGCAAAAAAGTTGTATAATATTTAAATTATTTTACAAAAGAATTCTTTGTGATGATGTCATCAAATTGTCGGTCCAGTAGTCTCGGAGATTACGTGTATAATAAAAATCGACACAGACGCCAGATAGACAGACAGACGCAAATGGGAAATCACTTTTTCCGTTCTATAGTAAGTGGTCATGAAACGTCCAGAAAACATGATACTGGCAAGTCGCCCGTGGACTCGATTACTATACTTCCTTAGCTTAAGCTCGGGAGGTAAAAAAGTAAATAGTGTGTTAACTATCCAAAACAAAACATTTTGGACAGTTGAGAATATTTTTAGATTATGGAACTCAAGAAACCATACGACTCTTCTTTTCTATCTCTAACAATTAATGAGATATCAAGGGCCGCGCGCTTAGTGACTCACGCTATATGTTGTAATCGAATCCGTCGATCAACTCTCTACTTTTACGTTTTCTAGACCTTTCATGACCCCTACAGTACGAAGAAATAAGTCTCCCGCTTCGGTCTGTCTGTCTGTCCGGATTTTTATTAGACAGATAATCTTCGAAATTACTGGACCGATTGTTGTCAAACCACATGAATATCATGTGAATGGTAAAACGCTAACCAAACTTTATCTAATCATCCCCACCAATAATGTGAAGACGTCACTTCAAAATTGTACACAGTAAATGGATTTTAAATTATATAAAATAACATAGTCCAGAGTTCTACACATGTTGTTTATGGCTTTGTGTTTTTACCCGAAATGTCCAGATTTTTGAAAAAAAAAAAATCAAAACTATAAAACAACATTTTGGAATTTAATTTTGAATCTGCAAAACTGAGTATTTTGAAATGTTGCAAATATTTTAAAATTATGATGAGCATAATAAATTTTTATTCAAAATATATATATTTGCTTATCCCCTCCAAAAAATTGATGACGTCAGTTCAAAATTTTGCTCAATAAATCCTAAGATAAGATAAGATCAGATAGGATTTTTGTTCCTGCTAAAATACTTATAAAAAATATTTACACAAGTCATTTCATGTGTCAAGACAGATACACAACTTAACATAACAAAATAAAAAAATACATGGTTACAAAGGTAATACGTAACTTGAGAAATAGACAACTATCTCATTTAAAACTTATAGTTTTTAAATATTCATCTACATTATAAAAGGCATTTTCAATTCGATGTGTTTTAATACTTTTTAAAAACAACTTAGGGCTAAGATTCCTGATATATTGTTTGGTATTACATTGTAAAATTTAATGCAGCAGTAATTAAAGCCCAGTCTAGATTTGGTAAGTCTAATAAGACCACGTAGATAAATGTTATTTCCTCTTGTAGAGTAATTGTGATAGGAATTTAATGTTCTAAATTTCTTACGGGTTTTTACAAAATACTCTAAGCATTTGTATGTATATGAACAAACAGGGTATAATCAGGAGATTCATGATTTAAAATGTTCTTTACGGTCGTCACGATATCTCAGGTTTGACATAATTTTAATTGCCCTTCGCTGGAGTCTGAATACACGCTCTGATAGTCCTGTATGTCTCCCAAGGATTATCGAATATTCCACACGTGCTTGGAAGGTCGCGAAATACGCAATTTTTATGACGTCTATGGATAGACAGAGCGTTAGATCACGTAGCAAATAGATGTTTTTACATAATTTCTTGCATAGATCACCAATTTGGTGTCTTTGTCTTTATTGAGATGCAGTTTATTTGCCTCCATCCATTCCTCAATTCTTTTGTATGACGAGCAGATCAGTTCTTGTAGTTTATTTAGATCTGAGTTAGCCTGCCTCACTGTGGTGTCGTCTGCATATAAAGTTTGTTCATTGTAAGAGTTCTATATGGAAGGTCATTTATTTACAGCAAAAATAACAACGGATCTAGAATGGATCCTTGCGGGACCCCATGTCGAACTGTTAATGATTGGGAAAGAATGCCATTTAGGTTGACCCTTTGTGTGCGATCATGTGATAAGAGTTTATCAGCGTAATAGTATTGAAATCATTATCAGAAAGACTATCAGTAATGATGGTTATAAAGTCTAAAAAGTTCTCATCTACATGTGTGTTTGAGTCAAAATCCTAGGAAATATTTTCCATTAGATTATAAAAGACAATTTTATCATAATTAGTTATAGGCCTAACAATTCTACTAGTACATAATTTATTTTTTACTATACATGGTTGACTTGACTTGACCTGACCTAACCTGACCTGACCTGACCTGACTTGACCGTTCTTTACTTTCATACAACCTTTAGTACACCCCTTTCATTTTTCGTGAATGGTCTCTAGTTAGTGGAGTATTGATAGATTTTGACTCTGGTGCGTGGTGAAATTTCAGCATTTTATCTTCGTAAATAAGAAAGTTAAAGGAGAGATATTTTTCAAGAGAAATACCCTGCAGTTAATGTACATTTTTTAAAGAGTTGTGGAAAAAAGCACAATCTTTATCAAAGTTCAGATACAGAAGCTGTGAAAGACAATAGAAGATTTTGACTGCTAGTTTTGTCTGTGATGGTTAATCTTCACAGAACTCATTGTTAGAAATATTTGTCACAAATGAGTACTGCGTCATTCTGCTGATATAATAATATTTTAAGAAAAATGTAAATTTCCACATGAGCCGTCTGGCTCCTTTACAATTCTCGCTAATTACGACCCAGCCGAACAATAACATAAATCTTGTATGAGACGCGACAGCCACTAGTGCAAACAATAAAGTCAGTTTTCCTCTTTCCATGTAATTAGGCCTTAGATGCGACAAACGCGAGCGAACCAAAAAGGCGTCTTCAGCCGTGCGAAAGGAAATGAATAATTCTAGGTGCGCCAGTTAGCGTTCCTGATTTGATTTTTACGAGCGACGCAGGTGCTGTTACTTTGTTTCCATCGTAAAGTTTTGCATTTTGTGATACATAGGGCTACGTACACTGCATGAACCCCGTATCGATACATTTGATTTATAGTTTTACGAGTTCACTTTACATTTTTCAGCCGGAGCGTATACCTATTTCAAGAAATAACAGTAATAGCGACCTGGCGGAAGGCGACCGCTCCACTCGGGACGGACATATTTTTTACGCAACTCCCGAATGTTCGATGATTACGTTTTATGTGCCGGTACTATTATTGGGGGTCCAAAATTTGCTATTCTACGGTTTTACGACGGCTACCATTAATATTCCGGAAGGGCGCTCGTCTAACAAAACAGTCCATGCAAAGTAAGGTCTGAGTAAAAATTAAATTAGGCTCAGCATAGTGCTGCAAACGGATAATGTTATAAAGATAATTTCAAAGGTGGAATGCTTGCTTACCTTACACCCTTGCGATGAGCTTAATCCCGGTGAAGGCCAGCACTCTTCTCTTTGGCGACTTTGATATCCTGTAAACAAAACTTCAGCTATAATACTGATAATCAGGGCGGGCTTCAGACGTTTTTTATTTTTTACTTCCGGATCGTAGCTAATTACATGTTCTTGACATATCATAACTATTAGAATATGAAAAAGTAGATCCCCTTTTAGTATATCTATGATCTGTCTGTTGTTTGCTGACAATCTTTTTTTTCTTACATTGTCACTGGTATAATTTATATCTACTATTTTTCTAAAAAATTGAACGGCTTAATTTTTCTTGTAAACTTCTCTCGATTTTGAAATTAATTTAAAAAAAATCGAAAATGTTTTGTTTTCTGATAATGTCTTTAATATAAAATAATATTCTGTTTTTTCGTACTCTAGGGGTCACGAAACGTCGAGGAAACATAAAAGTAGCCAATCGTCCAATGGACTGGAAGTAAAAACAATTAAAACAATTCTTAGTCATAAAAATTCTCTTAGACTATATGCTGTTAAAATAACGAATGAAATATACCCCTGGGTTCCCAGCTGCGGCTCTGGAGCGTTCGTGTTTACCGCCTAAAGCCGGTCCTGCTGATAATTAAATTAATAATGATCACCCTGAATAAGTGTTTTCCGCCAGAGCAGGGATAGAGCGCATCCCTCGTTACAAAACACAAATTTAATTAATGGATTGTAAAATATTTCATTGCGTCGTTGAAAGAAAACGCTTCATTTGTTCCGTACAACGATACGAACGAAATTTTTATTATCTGGTTGGCAGCAGTGCGAAACCTTACAGCAGTTCGAATTGTTATTGCAGGCGAGTTTGCGTGGATGCAGTACTAATAAAGTACTTATTTAAACAACAAGGGGTTGTGAGTAGAAGTTAAACTGTGCCTAAACCCTAGGTTGGTGGTGTCCCTGTAATTAACAATTAGGCTTGTTCTACTCTACTAACTGTCTCAACTCCATACTGTAGCTTAAATAAATTACTTAATTTGCTTGATAATACCAGCCTATGTTTCAGAGCGTTAATGGGAAATTTTATGTTCTAATCCGTAAATTTTTAGCAAAGTTTTTCTCGACGAATGCACAGATTATTTATTTCTCGCTAAACCTTTTTTTATTTATCAAATATTAGAAAAAAAAGCAAAAAAAAAAAAGAAAAATGTTTCAATCGCATTGCAGGCACATGAATACAAACAGCGGTATTTATTTGTTGGTTTGGTCTAGATAATGCCGACATGGTTGGCGAAATGCGTCGGCAAATATTTTGTTTTCGGTGTTGTGGGGATAAACGTTATATTACCGTTACACTATAATAATTAAAACGTTGCAGTGTCAATTAAAATTGTAATTAACATGAAAAATAACAATAGAATGTACATAGGAATGTAAACTTAACAAAATAAAACAGCGACATGCAAAACTGGAAATTAATGTTTTGTTTCCATTAAGGCAATAGTGCATAAACAGAATGTTTTATTTTGAAATTAAATGTCCATAACGGTTTGTACAACGACAATTTAAACCGTGGGTAATATATTTTTGTAAATAGGATATCGATTTTTAAACTGCAAGTGGGTCAGACGTAATTTCGTATTTACACATATAGGTATATTTTTAATAATAATAATAATAATAGTTATGAACAACTATCCTATGTCATATTATTTTAGTATGTTGTTTATCTTCTTGTAATTGAGAAGTTTTATAAAAAATTAGAGAAATATTGCTAAGTTTTTTGCTTTTCGTGGATTTCCAAAAGCCATGTAAATTACTTCTAAATTCAAAAAGTTTTATTACCGTCTATAATTAGTTCTATAAAACACGTTATTTTCAAATGGATTTTTTTACACTTTTTAAACAAAAATGTGAACTTTTCTTGTGTTTATGTTAGCATAACGGAAGTAATTGTGTGACAGATATGTTAATCGTGACATGCAAGGTTATGTTTTGGATACAATCTGCAAATTGAAAACGTCAACAATCTGTCAATCTTGACAGTTGACAACCGGAAATGATAGAAAATATCGTGATACCAATTTCAACTAAAAATCCAGGATTGCCAACAGACTCATCGCATTTCTGATCACGCGGTCTTCCCTCACCCATGAAAAACGATAAAACAAATTCATTTTCTTTGACGATTTTTAAAAATTATTTTGGGAATTTTATTTTTCATGATTCCCCGTACAAGTTAAAGTAAAGAAGCATGTTATGCATTATTTCACGTGAGTTTTTCTTAACAAGACCCTATTTTTTCATCATATAGGGGTCATTAAACATAGAGAAACCACGAAAGTAGCATGGATCCTAGCTTACCCTAGAGAAGTAAAATCTGGAATAAAGAAATGTTCCATATTTATATCAAACATTTTTTAAAAAGTTCGGAAATTGTCGAAATTGTTCTGATATTTTACTTCCCGAACGTAAAGTAGGGAAGAATTGTGATAAGGTCCATCCCGCGAGTGGCTACTTTTGTGGTCTCCCGTTTTCGTCTGTCTGTCGCCTGTGTACATAGATACTCTCCGAAACTACGGGACCGATTGTTGTCAAATTTTATATGTACTTTAGGAATATCATGTAGACGATAGAACGCTAACCAACAGTGGTCTGAACATTTCCACCAACAATTTGATGACTACTTGTAAACTTGTGATTTATGAATCCGTCTTGATTTTTTTATCCTATACATCCACATTTTTGTAAAAAAATATCAAAATTGGATAATAACATTTTACAATTCGAATTAAAGGCTGCAAAATCAAATGCTCTAAAATCTGCGTATATTTCAAAGTTATTGTAAGCATAGTAAATCGCTAATTAAAATTTATCTGTTTACCCTTCACAAAAACTTGATGTTGTCATTTTAAAATTTTCTAATAAAATGTCCAAAATAGTATGAATTTGTATTTCTGCATTTATTTTTTTTAATTTAGAAACGAAGAACCGTTTACCTCGTTTTCCCGAAAATTTGGGAATACAGTACTGTTAATATTAATGTTATACTTCACTTATTTAAATTGATGCTAAAGTAATGATGCCGTCATTACAAAATTTTGCTGAATAAATCCTCTCTGAAATATATAAAATATTATTACTTGTGGTTTATCAGTGCACTCATACTTTTTAGAATTATTTATACAGGATGACTCAAATAAATTAATGAATGAGGTTGTTTATTGTTGTGGTGACCGAATTTGAATTAAAATTTCGCGCTGAAAAAAATTTACAGCCGTGCGAAATCGCATTTGAATAATTTGAATTTGAAAAAAAAATCAGTTAAGAAAAAATCGTTAAACATAGGCAACCATGTGCACGTTTAGTTCTTTTCTGGTAGTTGGTAGCTCTCCTGGGAAATTTCTGTTGAGAGGATTGGTAGAAGTTGATTTAGTGGCTAGAGGGTTGAGAGACTTCATTTTCGGTTTGTTTGTTGTGAGTGCAACCACGTGGGTGAGTTAGCTAGGTTAAGTTTAGTTGGTTTGGTAGTTGATAAAAATAGGAAGCCTTTGTTTAACGAAATTTAATCGTAACGACGACGAAGCAGCAGTTTCCCCAACGCGCTTGGCTAATTTTCAACCGACACTAACACGTGTAAATTTAATTCATTGTTTGTAAATTCACAGTTCATGTTAAGATTTTAATCGTTAACTAGTTCTAACACCATTTAACGGTCCTGATGTTTGTTTAGATAAACTACTTGCTAGGACATTTCCTGAGATTCACTTAGTCAGGACTCATCGTTTGTTTACAAAATCGTGAATAAGCTTCTGGATGCTTACACTTAAGTGTTCTTCACACAAGATTTGCTTAGCTCTGCAATTTTTCACCTCATACAATTTTTTCTATCTCATAATTTTAGCCTCAGTAATTTTCTTTGTTGTATAATTTAAATTGAACGTAAATTTTCATGCGCTGCAGTTTCTAACCTCACGTAACTGTTTGTTTGCACAAGTTATATTTCACACCAGGGGTGAGATTTTTTTCTATAACGATAAAATATCGGGACCGATAAAATGTGGTCGTCTTTTTCTTTCGCATTTGAAATTTATATTTTCGTCTTTGTCATTTATCGCTTCGTTATCGCTTCGTATCGGTAGAAACAAAATCTGATGTCCCATCAATCTCAGATAAGAATTCCTTGCTGTTTAAAAATTTCACGAGAGTGTATGGCGAATTCAAATGTTGTTTATTGCTCTTTTTGAAACGCTAACACTTGTTCAGTTGTAGTATAATATCAGCGTTATATAAATTGAACATTTAAAATGGAACTGAGGTAAATAACACAATAACACTTGGCGGAAGCGGAGTGCGCGGTTCCTTGTCGAGTTGTCACAATTAGAATAGAAGTCAGGGGAACGGTTGGGATGACGTGACGCTGTCAGTTTATTTATAGCCGTGATTTCCAACCACAAGTTCGCGACCGTAAAGTTTGGAAAGTTTTTTTTTTTGTAGCTGAGCACTAAGAAGGTCTTCAACCTGCCCAACTTACCCGCAGCTTTTTTTGCCAGTGGAAGAATAATTAATTTTGTGTCCTCCATATATTAGTATTTTTCCAACCTTGGGGTACACCATTTGCATCTGAACGCATCCGACCCTACAATGTAGGATTCCATTTTGTTAGACGATCACAACCAAGGCCAAATTTTGACTTTTTCGCGGGCTTTCAATTTTTATTTTACATGTCAATTTAAGACGCGATGTTTGGGTTATCACATTGCAATGATTAGATCATAAACGACTCACTCCATTTTCCCGAAAATTTGAAAATACACCGTTATTTTATTATAATTATTAGTTATAATATTAGTATTACACTGCATTTATCAAAATCGAATCACATTTTGTAATGAAAAAACTCACTTGAAACAAACGCGTGGCACGCTTTTAGATTTACTTTATCATTATAGTTTACGAAATATCGTTGTACCCTATAAAATTTTATGGATAATAAAACCATATACATAGGGTACAACGATATTTCGTAAACTATACATACAAATCATCTTTATTTTAACTTAAAAGGGTTACCATAAAA